TAACCAATACAGTCCATTATCCCATCCGGTACTTTCCAGACATTCTGATTTCAGTATCAAAATAGGATTCTGGGTTTCAATTTACTGAAATAACACACAGACTTTAATGGGATATGTTTCACCTATGTTTGGCTTTTGTATTTTTATGATCTTCCCCTAACATCTTTTTTATGTATTCAATTCATAGCATCCTAGCAATCTAATCTACTCTCTTTGCCTATCTATGCATCCCTAAATAGGAATGTAAGAGATACATGAAATAATGGGAACAACAAATGTATTCTATACTCTGATAACCAGGAGATGCATTGAAATCAATTATTATTCACAACAATGTTATATCAAAGACATAAAGACTTTAAAACAGATTCTATATGACATCAAAAACTGGATGGCTCAGGGTGCAAATAATAGGCTAAAGAGACCTTTGTACAAAGGCCATCAATTCGAACCCTAAAGCCACTTGATGGGGAGGCTAGTGAGCTTGCTTTAGTTTTTAAGGGGAGCTGCTTGCATTACCCCAGAATTCATCACCACAATTGATGCTAACTCCCCTTTTTTGACACAGAACTGACCAGGACTGAATTGATCTCAGTGGCCACAATCAGACAAGCGGGAACATGTGTTTCCCTGGGGACAAGTAGCAGCAGTACACCTTGTGCCACTGCTACTTGTCCTTGGGGTATGCCAGTGCCATGCGCGCTCCTGCATGCGGCAGGTTACCCCGGGTTGGGTAGGGGTGACTGGAGCCAGCAACTGTGCTGGGCCCGACAGCCTTACCTGAGTCCTAGCAGCCTTGGGGAGCAGATACTGCAGCGCTCCTGCAGCAGGGAATCTGGCTGGCAGCTGGAGTATGGCTCTGGCCAGCCAGGCTTCAGTTTGGGGCAGCGTGCACTGCCACCAAGTGTGCCATCGCGCTTTTTTTCAGCATGTTTTTTTTTTTTTTTACCGCAGAATCTCCTAGGGTCAAGAAAACCCCTCTGTTTGCAAAGTAGCTGTGCAGGGAATGCCTGCATGTGCAGTGTGTGGCGCTGCAGACATACCATGCGTTCATACCATCTGGACGCGGCCAGTGGTTCCTTCAGCAGACCTGGGGAGGCAAAGCGAGGGAATCTCACACTGATGATGTCCCGTCCATTATTGTTTTATAGATCAGGACATTCACTTGCCTCGCTGGACAATTTGCTTTTGTAACTGGCCCATGTCAAATAAAATGATGTGTCAAATTAAGGCTGAGGGTACTTCCAAATTATTCAGGGATCAAATATTTAGGCCTACACTTGCCAGTAAATAAGCTGGGCCCTAAATTGTGGGATTTTACAAGCCAACTAAAGAATAAGTCTTGGAATGCGGACCAATGCAATGCCTCTTGTCCCAAATAATGCTTTATACAAATTGTCACTGCTACAATGCTTGTATGATGCAAATTACTGATAAGATCCTTTATGTTGTCCCTTAGTTTGGCATTTGGTAATGAATGAGGCTTTTTATTCTTTAAGAAAAGCACTCTCTGTGTCAAATTTTCAAAGACCTTCCAAAAACACACCCTCAACAAATTTCTCTCTTTCATGTTTTTGATAGGCATCAACCAGCATTTGCACATAGAGATTCAGTACTTCTGTAAATGCAAAACTCCTGTTTCCAGGTGTGTTCATGAAGTCTGGGACTAAGTGCAAGACATTTGAAGTTGAGGTCCCTTCCAACCCTAATTTTCTATTATTTCCTATGATTCATGAACGTTTGCACACTTTCTCCTGGCCTAACTCCTTCCAGGGATCAGGAGGAGTGGAGCCAGGGAAAAACGTCCCATCCCAACCTGAGACCAGGTTTATCCTGGTCTACAGAAAGTATAGGGAGTAGCTACTCCTGCTACAGGGACAAGAGTTTTGTTCAAAGAGACTCTTCCTGAGTCCTATCAGGAGATGCCATGATCCAAAATGCATAAGTGTAGCCTTAAGCATATTTTGAAGTGTGTAAGATTCTTGAGGACGTCAGCTGAGATCTTTATCCCATGTGATGCACCTCATTGAGGTCAACTGCATAGATGAATGTGTGAAGATCTGACTGGAGAGTTTTTCCCTTTATGCATTATTAATACATTTATTATTACAGTTATTATAACCTTTATGGAAGGCATTGAAGTTCAATTTTTCCTACACCAGCTAATGATTTTAATGAGCCATTTCAGCCCCCAAAACCAGAGCTAGACATTTTTTAGCCAAGCTGTTTGGATTCTTCAGCCAGTAGAAAAGGACATATCAAGGCATTGTATCTATAAATAGATGGACATGAATCATGCCTTGAATTCTAAAGAATACAGATGAATAGTAACTTCTAATCTGGCAAGTGCAAACGTTTATTAATTGCCAGTTGAAAATGAAGAGAGTCATGAACTCTGAATAAAAGAAAACTCTTGTAATCACATATTCTTTCAGTTATAAGGCAATGAAAACTCCATTATGAGTCTACTATGCCATAATGAAGAGAAATCGGAAAAAGTAAAGAACACGCATAAGCACACTTATCAGCTGTGGCAGCATTTTATAATGTATGTGAGCTTGAGATTGAACCGCCATATGAATGACTAAACCAGGGTTCATTCTGTGGTCACACAGGACAAAGGGGTCACTAGACAAATTTGTGCGGTGAGAAACTATTGAGCACAACGTTGAGAATGTGAATATAAACATCAGCAGATGAAAATAAAGATAAGAGAGAAGGGAAGTGGAACATACCCTATACACACAGGTTTCAGGCATTCATGGCCAAGTTGGCTAACTTTGCATAGACAGTCAAGTTAGGCATAGCTCCTATTATCCAATACCTTGAAGTATCACAACTATATTTAAGGTCACACATTGTTCTGTTCCATTGTTCCTAATAGTAATAGCTTAAAACTTTGACTTGAGAAAGTGAAATATTTAGAACGGTCCACTTTGTGATCTACTTGATATCTGGGCACATTCTGAGAGGGAAAAAATATTGTTCACGTAATTTTTAGAATGAGGCCAGGAAGGATATTCTGAATTTTTAAAATGAGGTCAGGAACATTTTCTCACCATAAAGACAAAAGCAAGATTTTTCACTCTTTGTTCACGCATAACTAGAACAGGGCTGATCTTGCCCCTTCCAGGTGGCTGGTCATGAATGAGTGCTAGTTTCCAGAAAAACAACAGAAGTTAACTTTCACAGCTCGGTCCTATATTGATAATGAACTGGACTGAAACAAAGAATTGGGCATCCAGATTCAGACAGCATCTGCACCTCATGGTTTGGTTATTTGGGATCTTTCACTTCTAATGTATGGCTTGACAAGGGTTACTGGTGGGAAGGCAAAGCAACTGTTTGTCAAAAGTGAATCAAATGAGAAATATTTGGCTCTTTTGGTTGAATGTTGCTTTGTCTTTTTAAAAGCATAGATTTATCAGCACCTCTGGCCACTTTATAATTCACTAAAATAAGTGGAGTAAGTTTCAAAGCAGATAAGTAAGAACCTTTTGAACTCTTGTCTTTCTGCGTTCTTTTTTTGCATTAAATGAAAGCTGCAAGGCTGAATAAAAGGCACTCTCAATAAATGGTAAACCAACAGAAAGTAAATAATGAGAATGCTATGAAGGTTTTTAACCACAGAACTCCTGTTAACGTGTTTGGGAGCTGCATATTTAAGCCCAATACTCGAAAAATTTAATTCCCCCTTCTATTGCAATAGAAATCTGGCACAAACGTGGAATAAAATGCCCACTTCCTTACAGTGTGAATATTTTCTTCACTAGCATATTTAGCTGTACTAAGGTTCCTAGATAGTTAGATCCTTTAGTAACAATGTATTCCAGAAAATCCTAAAACAGATAAATACTTCTATCGCTTAAAAACCTTCTTTAACTAGACTATAGTTGTCGGCAGTGCCATCAGTAGGGGTACGTTTTTTACTCTTTTTGTTTCCATATGCCCCAGAAGTCTTTTTAAAAATATAATTCCAAATGCAGAATGGTATGTCCACTATTTTCAGATATTCAAGAGAATGCATATATATCACTCATTGGCTGGCATAAGCATTATCAGCATTAGAGGGGAGAACTGAACAGTTCTATGGGAGTAATCAGAATACAATAGTTATGGACCTCAACCAGCCAAACTAACTGAAGGATTTGCTTTACACAGGGCACATCTACATGTGAAATTAATTAGACGGAATAAATTCTGGTGCAGTTCACACCAGAGTTTATTTATTGTCTCAGGCGCAGTGTTAACACACATGCCTGGGACTGCAGCATGTTGGGCCGGGGCGGCGCAGCCCTGGCTGGCAGGGGGTCCCTGGGGTCAGCCTGCCAGCCCAGGGCTACTCCTGCCTGGCTCAATGGGCCATGGAGGGGCTGGCTGGGCCGTGAGGGTGCTCCAGTGCAGGGCTAGCTGGCAGGAAGTCCCACACTATAGCCCCTTTGCACCCCAGCCAGCCCCGGTCACCATCGACATGTGTGCCGTGGTGGAGTAAATAAGTGCTAGCAGTAATTGTGTTGGGCAGTACTGTCCGATGGCAGAGTTAATTAGTTTACTCTGGCCTAACAGCACCGCTCATGTAGATGGTGACGCTTTACTGCGGAGCTAATTAGGCAACTCCGCAGAAGCATTTCATTTCGATACATCCACTAAAACCTACCTTAACTAATTAGTCACCAAAAATGGAATCCCAGCTTAAATCACAGATATTTTCTTAGGGCTGAATGACATAGTCAGTCAAAACAGTCTGACACAGACTGACAGCAAGAAACCTGTCAGACGTGGAAGGCATACCAATGCTTTTTGGTTATTTTGAATTATATGCTATTTATGCATATCTTTATACTTATCTAATTTATGCAGGTATTGAATGCATCAGAGATTGTTTTAATTATGTGAGCGTCGTAGATTTGGTGGATACGTCTGGCTGACCTACTTATTTATTTTGAGACTATATATGTTCAAAATTCATCCTTAAAAAGGAAAAAAATACATTTTCTAACCATTAAATGCAGCTCCGCCTTCATCAATTCCTGGTCAGTCTTCATACGTGTGAATCATTCTGCGCACTTCTTACAGCATCTAGAAAAAAGACAGGGTTATAGTTTGAGTAATCAACCAGAAGTCCCGCTCAGATAAATGTGTCAGCCTTCATATTTGCATACAAACAGTCTGCATACCTATGGAGCATCTCTGTTCTTGACCTGTTTCTCCAAGTCAATGAGCATGTCTCCAAACTCATCCTCTTTTCCCCTTCCATTTTACTTGGAGGTTTTCCATGTCACTGCAGAAGCAACATGGTCCAGTAAAGAGAGATCTGGACTGCAGCCAGGAGGCCTAGCTACTAATTCTGGTTCAGACACTAAGCTGATCTGGTGCCTTTGGTCAAGTCATTTAACTTTCTGTGTTTCCAATTCCCTTTTCATCCTTTGTCTCCCTTGTGTACTTTGATTGCAAGACTCTTTGTGGTAGGGAATCTCTCTTGCTTTTATATGATACCCAATAGAAAAGAGCTTGTTTTCATTGGGACTTCTAGATCCTATGGTACAAGTTAAAAAAAAATCAAAATGATGGTAGTGCATTTCAAATCATGAGATAAATGTATGTCTTTTTTTTCTTTTGATCCCATCAAAATGTACCCTGAGAATGTTGTGGAATGTTAAATATGACTCGTCACAAAAGCATAACAGGTGAATCTAGAAAAAACATGCTAAAATAATTAGTCCAAAGTAGTCATTATTGACTTTTCTTCATGCAACACACTGAATCAAAAATAAAATCGTGCACGTGTTGGCAAAACTGGTTTCCATTGCTCATCAAAAATAGCCTTAATAAAGTATCTGACATCATCTAATTCATCATACTTACCAGTACTGGTAGAAATACAAACCAGACTCTACCTATCCTCAGTTATCTCAGTTATCCCAAATAGAAAAACCCTTCATTCTTTTTAATACTATTAGAAAGATGTATTTTTAATCAAGATGTTGTACTAGTCAGTGAAAAAGACAATTTTTTTAAAGTTTATAACTGTTAATGTTTTTCAAGCTAGCAGTGATTCAAAAAGATAGTAAAGAATGCTTTGGGAGACCTGTGATCTTCTGCCTATGACAAAGCACCTGAAACAATATTGTTCCTGTCTCTTCTACTGGAGTCTAGTAATCTGGTCCCGCCTTGAAATGGTTTTCCCCTTTAAATTAATACACTAAAAAATGCCATAGAAGACCATGTTCAAGGAAAATACATTAGGGGAGTATGTCTTCACTGTTTTCTTCAACCACGTTTTCTTTATTCTAAGCTCTTCATCTCTCTCTCCATCTAATTTCTGTTTCTCATTTCTCTGCTAGGGTTCCCAACACAGAGTTTGAAAGCTTCACAAAGAATCCAGTAGTAGCTTCTGTTTGGAGAGATGAAACAATTATAATGCTTTAAAGGGAACGTTGAGGGTCAGCGTTTCAGCTGAATCTGATGCACCTGTTTAGTCTGTCCACGCTTGCCTGCAGTAAATGGAAGATAAACCACACTTGTTTATGGCCTGTTTCAGTGGGGTTCAAATTATTGTGGCTTAGCCTCACCCACAACAGGAAAGCAGAGGGCAGATGAAAGTTATAATGGATCAATTGAAACATGCTCCCAAGTGGTAAATTGTCCCTATACCCCTTTATAGCACTGCAATTGTTTTGCCTGTGCACGCATCTGATGAGGTGAACTTGGGTTCACAAAGGCTTGTAGTTTATCTATATTTTATTTAGTTAGTTTGTGAAGGTGCATATCTCCCCTGCCTCTCATAAACATGGGTAACTACCTCTCTACAGACTAGGAGCCAGATTCACTGCTTTGAACCCTTTGGCACGCCAGGTTGCCTTTACCCCTCCCATCTTCAACACGTCACCTTTCAGTGTGATTTACTTTCAGGAATCTTGGTATGAATACAAGATACTCCATGTGATGTCTTCAGGGAATAGGAGTGATAAAGAGAAATTCAGCTCGCCTATTTTCTTTCCTGTCACTACTTGATAATCTCTTTATCTGGACTCACTCTGGCAGAGTTACAGACAGACTTATTTCCCCACAGACAAACCCTATCCCCTTTCTCTAACACACACACGTTAGCACTTCAAACCGAAGCTACTTTTTAAAATAGCTTTTTGCTTCTTTGATATGTATAGTCAAATTTTGTATGCAAGTACACGTGCACAGTGCACACACATGCACTTCAAAGCAGAAGTTGGTTCTCTCTCTGTCTAGCTTGCCTTTTGGGGGGCACTGTGGATTCCTGAGAAGACATTTTGTACATTTTCTGATACATTATGGTCCTAGGTCTAAGCCTACGAATGAGGTTTGTTTGTCCTTTAATCATACTAAGACTTCACTCCTTATAGTCAATGAAAGCTTTGACTTTTAAACCAAAGTTACAGCCTCTATTGTTTATGGGCAATTTTTTCAGAAACATCAATGTGACTTCATGAATCTTAAGTTTCATTTCCAGCAGTAACTAGCCCTTCGAAACTAAAAGCCCAGTTGTTTTCAATGAAGCTATTAACCCAAAAAGGCCTTAATTAGTGGAGAAATGAGGTGGACATTTGATAATTTTTGGCCATATAGCAGTAATACAACTTGCTGGAGTTCTCACTGTACAAAGCCAGGGACCCGGTTGTCAGCTGATTTCATCCGGCATAACCCAGTTAAGTCAACAGAGCTACCCTGTTTTTTCCATTTGAGGATCTGGCCGAACATTTTGGAAGAGGTACATTTTGGCAGAAGTCAGTACTGACACAAGACAGGTCTACACATCCCAATTAGGCAATCTGTTAAACTGAAATATCAATATTGGAATTTTATGAAAGAGCAAAGATCCTTTGAAATACTAGCATTACACAGCTAGCAACCAGAATGGGGATGGTTTAGCCTCATGCCTGAATATGTCCCTAGATTCACAGAAGCCAAGACCAGAAGGGATTATCGTTCCATCTGAACTTTTGCCATTACAATTCACCTAGTTATGTCAAGCAGAACTCCCATAAATTGAATGTGGCTCAAAAATTATCTTCCAGACAGACGCAGTCTTACTCTTAAGATATCAAAAGATGGAAAATAGAAAATCCTTTGCTAAGGATTTGTAAGTTTGTTTGTTTTAAAATCATTATCTACCTTGTAACTCACCACGGGGCAGTCCGACTGTCTCCTATCAAGCATGTCAGTTAAAGTCTTTATAAACCCTTTCCCTCCTTTGTAATTAAGACCCAGGCCAATCAATCAAGCTTTAAACTAGGGTCATCCGTGACAATACCTAGAGAGAACACAGAGCTGACAGAAAAGGGTAGGGAATGGTAATAGAACTCTATAGGCGTGCTCACTTCTGCAAAAGGAAAATTTAAATTGATTTGCTGATGGAAAGAAAGGTAAAAGGAAGTAGGACTGAAGTTATCAAGACCCTATAAAGGATAAATGGAAATTATGTGACAGAGGGAAGGAGTTTCTTAAAGAGGTAATAGAGACTGCTGCTTAACATTTTCTACATCTAGAGACATCAGCAGGATAAGGTTGGAGACATTTTCAGCAGCCTCATTTTTTTTATTTATTACAAAAACAGTGCATGGGGCCAACTGAGACTGGATCCCCATTGTGCTAGGTACTGTATAGAGAAAGTAAGGAACAATCCTTATCCTGAAGACCTTAAATCTTTACCATAAAGGACTGCTCTTTAATAGTGCTGCACTGATTTAAAAGAGCTGTACCAAACTATAGCTGCTAAGGATCCAGCCCAAAGACTTTATGAGACTCCTGAGAATCAGGCAGGGGTGACTGGTGCCTCCTGAGTCTGGAGGGGGGGGAACAATTTGTGGGTGGGCCCAGGGATGAGCCAAAAGCCCCATATCCATTCCTATACTTCTGTGCCATGGCTTAGTGACCCTTGCCCACAACACACCACCAGCCCGCGTGGCAAAAAACCTGCTCTGTCATAAGCGGTGCCGAGCCAGGGGGCACGTGCCCCCTCACCATGCTCCCTCTACCAGTCGCCTGTGGCATCAGGCGTCTGAGAATCAGCCCCATTGTAGAATTTAGCTTAACCATTACTGACCACAACTCACCTCAACCTCTCTGTGAATCTAGTAGCTCTTCATGGACGAGGAGACTATTTATTAAACTGCTTCATTGGGGAAAAGATCCAAGTTCCTGGCAATATTAGAAAGAGAATACCTGTCTGGAGCAAAGAATTAATCATCCTTGCCTGCACTTCCTTTGTAACATGAAGGTAGAAATGTCATCCTGTGATCTAGTTGAGACTTTTCGGTGTGGAGTGATAGTTTGCCTAGGAATGCACCGCCGTCAGTCCCCCAGGGCCCCCTGGTGATGGTTATCCGGCAGGCACAGACAGCCTATTTTCCCCCACTAAGGAAATGATGCCCTATCTAAATAAATAAGCTGCTTGAGTTTAGAAGTCAAGTACAGTGTCTGTTGCACAGACAGCTAAAGGAGATGATTTGTGAGAATCTGTGCTATGCGCTCATGGTTCGTAAATGGGGCGAGGAGGGTTGTTATTACTTTAAGTGTTTATTGGGTGTAGAAGTAGCCATGTGGCCAACTCTGAATTGCAATGAATTTGCAGCTGCAAAGAAGTCCAAATGATTGCACTTAGTATCATAGCAGAAAGGGCAGCATTACTGAAACAGTGGTACTGGTAGGAGCTGCTGTTTCCTACCTTGTGCCAAAACCTTGCCCTGCTCTTTGGTTGTTTGAACCCTGGCTGCTGAAACTAAAAATACATACATAGAGACCTACACAGTTTAGATTTGGATTTCTCATTTGTGTGAGGTATGTTGTGCCCAGGTAAGCACATCTAAGTGGTAAAATGTACTCATTCAGGGATTAAATCAAAACAGGAAATACAAATTAAAAACCTTTCCTCTAGTCTCTTCTCTGCCTTCATGAACGGGTGTGTGTTTAAATGCATTCTACCACTGCTTCTTTTGCTCCCTGCTTTGTAATATTTTAAAGTGGAGCTCCCTTATGTCTTCCAAAAGGTTAGAGGGATTAGATCTGTTTCCTAGTAGGGAAATGAGGTTTTATTCATGTCAGCT